GTGACTACAGCTTCTCTGGGAATGTGCCAACTTTTGTGGAGTTAGACAGGAGTAGGCTGACACTCCCACAGGCTCAGGCAACATGAAAGGGTTCTGACAACAGGATTGAGAGGGGAGGTCCTCTCTTTGGTTATCTCCACCCATTGAAAAACAGAAACATTTGGAAATTTCACCAATGTTTATTCATGCAGACGCAAGGGAGATACACTCTTCCCTTGGGAAAAATGCATCTCCCCCAGCTGTTACATAACGTTACTTTTTATACCACTTTTTACATGAGTGTTACATTTTCTGAACGCACCAATCACCTATAACAGATGTGATTCTATTCAATTGTAGAACCCTTATAATGAAAATAAAGCCATTTGGCTCATAGACTCTGCACTAAACACTCCAAAGAACATTGCACCCAGACCCAAACCCCACATCTAATACACCTGACCTGGGCACTATGGGGCAAATTTAGCACAATGCCCTATCCACCCTAGCCTACACATCTTTGGACTGTGGGAGGAAACCAGAGCACCCGGAGGAAAGCTACACAGACGCATGGAGAATGTGTAACCTCCACACAGACAGTTGCCTTAGGGAGGAATCGAACCCAGGTCCCTGGTGCTGTGAGGCAGCAGTGCTGACCACTGAGAGACCATGCCACACAATCATGCTCAGCTATAATATCTTCAAAGTAAATTAACACCAAGAATGAGGAAGTAAATAGATGGCAAACTGTCAACCTGTCTTTAATCTTGTTTCGATGGGACACCTAACCCTTACTCACTGGAACATCTTATCTGGTTATTGCCCCAATACACTATCTAAGGGGACACATCTCGGCTTCATCTCAAGAGAAAGGAGCCATTTACTCTGGACATCGTTCAGATGAGAGTGCTTTCCTTTCCTCTGTCCTGCAGAAACTTTTCATACCTCTGGGACTCCTTGGATTGTGCCGTTTGCTCTGCTAACACATCTGACCCGAGCAACCTTAATACGCTGGATTAATTTGCCTAATTTTCCTAAGCTCCACGGCTTGCTCCGAATACTAACATACGAAGATTTATGAAACCTTTATTGTAGCTGATTATACCCCCTTTTGGCCCATTGTGTCTGCACTGGCCCACCAAATGAGTGAAAGGCAGCAGTATGTCAATATTGGCAAGTGGTTTCTAAGTCACAGAACTTCCCAAATGTTTGTAGGATACCCAGTGTCCCGATAATTTCAGGGGCTTTCCCAGAAATCTGCCAAAGCAGAGCGAGTGTTGCCAAAGCAGGAGACAAATAGCACGCCATGAGAAATGGCCTCCATTATGCATTTGTGCACATGCACTCAACGGGATTACCAACCCTTCTAACCAACCTTTAACTGTATTTCTTTATTTTTCTATTTCGGTGCTAAGGAGACTGCAGTGCTGAACTTTTCAACTTATTTCCTTTTTTTTAACCTTTAGATCATAGAATCCCTAGAGTGTGGAAACAGGCCCTTTGGCCCAACAAGTCCACACCGATCCTCAGAGTATCCAACGCAGACCCATCCCCCTGTAGCCCACCTAATCTATACATTCCTGAGCACTATGGGTAATTTAGCATGGCCAATCCACCCTAACCTGCACATCTTTGGACTGTGTCTATTTCTATAACTAAGATTTTGTACCTAGGTACTTTGTACTTTGTACCTAGGTACACTTTTCACTGTACTCTTGTACCCCATACTTGAGCCCACATGATAATAAAACTTAAATCTAAATCTCTACTTTGCAAAATGGGCAAAGATCAACCTGGTACAGCAATTGAGGATGACAAAATTGTAATGTAATTGAAAATTCACATTTAGACACAGAGTTAGTAGCTTTAACCCAACTGCCACTGCAACCCTTTTGGAATGGCGTCGATGGGCTCAGAATTTATTGTTTTACATCAACCAAGTTAGACCATCACATCCTGAGGTGGGTCTTGAAGTTGCACCTTCTTTCCTGAAGGTAGGTTTACTGATATACAAGTGCACTGTGTCTGACACCAAACAGCAGTTGGATGGGAGTCCAGATAGTTATGATCAGCCCTCATTGAGCTCCTATAAGCTTTTACCAATATTCCAATGCACCTCTCATCATAAACTCACCAGGAAAAGTATCTGACAAAGAACAGTTCATGTTAACCAGTAATGTTAGCTCTGTTTCTCTCCCCCTATCAGATTGCTGGAATTGCTGTATCATTTCTGACTAGAGTGAGGACAAAAAAAAATTATGAGGTTGCAAGGCATAGCGCTTGGGAGCAGAAGTAGGTCATCTGGTCCTTCAAGCATGCTTCACCATTCTCTGAGATCATGACCTGCTGAGACAGTCCAATATTTTCTACAACATTTCCACCTCCTTTCAGTTCAAAAATCACAAAATAGAACAGGATATAAACTGAGTTTTTCTTGTTCTGCACGAGGCAGTAGGCCTTATTGGATACAAAAAGATCAGGCCCAAGTTTCTGTCTTTCTTACCCTCTTTCTGATCAACCTTCACATTCTCAGGTGACCTAAGTTTCTTAGAAAATTGTTAAACACGGTCTCATCAATGAGTAGAAAAATATCCCAGCCTAGTTTTGGAGCAGTAAGATTTGTAACTGGACTCTGTGGCACAGCCTGTTTTCGATTGCTCTGAGTCTCTGACCCATTCCATTTTTGAAATCGCCTCCCTACTCTTCACACAGCCCAGAATGAGGCCATTCTGCCCCTTGTGTCTGCACAAGCCCACCAAATGAATCTTTTGATTAATGCCAATCCTCTGCTTTTTCCCTGTGACCCTGCACATTCATCCTTTTCAGATTGCAATCCAATTCCTCTTGGAATGTCTCAATAGAATTTGCTTCCAACTCTCGAGCAACGCATCCCTTTCCTGAAATTACCCACTATCTGAGAAAGGTTTCTCCCATATTGTTCTCATTTGTTTTGTCAACTACCTCCAGTGAAGTTTTCTTGATGCTCTGGAAGGTATGGTTTTGTCAACGTGACTCAAGTAGATTGCTCCCGTACACCCATTGGGTATGCCCCAGGTAAACACAAAATTTCCTGCTTCTCAAGAACTCAAGGTTCAAAGTTCACTCCAATCACTGCAGCGATGCAGGGCTTATTTTATGAAGATAGGTTGAACCTATAAGCATGGGAGTTTGGAAGAATGAGAGTGGTCTTATTGAAATGTATGAGATCTGGAAAGGACTGGATGGGGTGGATAGAACCCCTACAGTGTGGAAGCAGGCCAGTCAGCCCACATCCACACCAGCGCTCCAAAGACCATCCTACCCAAACCCACATTCTCTCCCCTCTACCCTATAACCCTGCATTCCCCATGGCTAACCCACCCTAACCTGCATACTACGGGATAATTTAACATGGCTAACCCACCTAGCCTGCACATCCCTGGACACTATGGGATAATTTAGCATGGCTAATCCATCTAACGTGCACAACTCTGGACTGTGGGACAAACCCAGAGCAAGCCCACACAGACATGGGAAGAATGTATAAACTCAACACAGAGACCTGATGGTGGAATTGAACCCAGGTCCCTGGTACTGTGAGATAGCAGTGCTAACCACTGAGCCTCCATGCCATCCACAAAGAAGGATGTTTCCCCTTGTAGGGGAGCCTAAAACTGAGGGGTGCAGTTTAAGGGTAAGGGGTCTCCTTTCTAAGATAGAGATGCAAAGAGTGTGGAATTCTCTTCCACAGAAGATGACAGAAGCCAGATTATTCAAGGCTGAGTGGAATAGTTTCTGATAGTTGAGGGAGTTAAAGACTCTGGGGGGGCTAACAGGAAAGTAGAGCTGAGACCACAACCAGAGAGTGCAGCTATGATCTTCTGGAAGTAGCTTCACCCCTCGTGTCAAATACTTCGCCTGTCGAGTTTGTGAGGAGAGGCTTGTTAGAATATTGATAAAATCTTCTAGGAGCTCAAGAGGGCTGATCACAACGATCTAGACTCCCATCCAACTGCCGGTTGATATCACACATGGTGTACTTGTACCTAAGTGAATCTACATTTGGGGCAGAGGGCCCAGGTTCAAGACCCACCTTGGGATGTGTTGGCCATGGAGGTGGGGTAATAACATCACCACATTGGCTGATTTAAGAAACAAATTCTGAAGCAGGCTTGAAGGGTCAAATTTTTTTCCTTTATTCATTCACAGGATGAGGGTGTTGCTGGCTAGTCAGCATTTATTGCCCATCCCTAATTGCCCAGAGGGCTGTTAAGCGTCAACCACATTGCTGTGGGTCTGGAGTCACATGTAGGCCAGACCGGGTAAGGATGGCAGTTTCCTTCCCTAAAGGACATTAGTGAACCAGATGGGCTTTTCCTGACAATTGACACACAGTCATCATTAGACTATTAATTCCAGATATTTATTGAATTCACATTCCACCATCTGCCATGGGGGAATATGAACCCAGGTCCCCGGACATTATCTGGGTCTCTGGATTAACAGTCCAGCAATAATACCACTAGGCCTTTGCCCCGCCAATGGCCTACATCCACTCCCAAGCCCTACATCTTACATTCTTACAATTTTTTTTTATCCTCACTTCAATTAGGAATGACATATCAAATCCAGTATCATTACAGATATCCCAAGGTGAAGGAGCTGTGCTTCCTACTGAAGTGAGTTAAAGCTCATCATAAACTCTATCCCCCACCTCTGGAAGCCCAGTCCTTGATCATTAACAATGTTTCCGTGTGTTCAATGAATCAAGACTCCCTGAACAAGGCAGTGGACTCATTCACCTTTTATCTATTATAACTAGCGTGTTAATCATTAAGACTCCCAAATACAGGCATCCTGAAGCATTAAAACTTTTCTTGTTGAATTGGCCTTCCAGTGGAAATGAAGATATTTTTATTTGCCTCTGGCATCTAAAGTGCCTAGAAAGGTTTGGAAAAAAAATCAACATTACTGATCATGCTTTCCCCAGCAGCTTAAAGTGCAACTTGCTTTGCTTTTTAAGACATCCACACCAGCCATTTTTATCGCAGAAAGGGTCTTGATCGGTCGTTGGTGACAGTAGGCCGCAGCTTGATAGTGGAAAATGGATTAGTTCCCCTGTGAATAAAGACAAGAATAATTAGCAACCACTCCCGTTCTCACCTCCGTCTTCCAAATTTCAGAAGAACACAAGAAGTAGGTGCAAGTGTAGGCCCTGAAACTTGTTTTGTCATCCAATGAGATTGTGGCTAATCTGATATGGCTTGCACCCCTCTTTCTTGCCTGGACCGTCTGATAGCCCTTGACTCCTGTAGATCAAAGATCTGTCTAACTCCGTTTAAATAAGATACGTGTCCCAGACTCCACTGCTCCCTGGGGAATAGCACTCCAAACACTAAGGACCCCATGAGAGAAGAATTTCTTCCTCAAATCTTAAATGAGGCTTAAATGAGAGACCCCTTTATCTTTCTACAACATGTCTTCTAGATTTAGGTTTCTTTACAAAAGAGTTGTTTTCTTTGACATTTCATGCATCTATTTTCCTTTCATGGGATGTGGGTGTCATTTGTTGCCCATCCCTAATTGCCTCCTGAACTGAGTGACCCGCTTGGCTTTTTGAGAGGGCAGTTAAGAGTCGACCACATTGCTGTGGGTCTGGAGTCACACGATGATGATATTATTTTCTCCAAAGGATACGACTGAACCCACATGGGTTTTTACAACAATCGATTATTGCCTTACACGCGCCATGACTGAAACTAGCTTTTGGTCTGAGATTTATTCATTGAATACAAAAGTTCACGAGCTGCCATGGTGGGATTTGAACCCATGCTCTGAGAACATTAGCCCAGGATGTCGGGATTACTCAGCCAGTGACTCGACCAATACACCACCATCTTCTTCATCGCTCGACACGAGTTGTCAAACTTATTTGGAGGTAGGGTTTGGAGATGTTACCAAGCGCTCCTACTGCTAATCAGCCTGTCCCCACACTCACCATTGCTCACCCAATATGTTCTTCCTTGTGACACAACACCCACCCAACACCCAATCAGAAAGTGAGTAGACTCCTTGCTAAGGAGGTCCATCAGAACATAAAACCATAGGAAATAGGAACAGGAGTAGGCCATTCAGCCCCTCGAGCCTGCACCACCATTCGATAGGATATTGGCTGATCCGACACTTTCCTGCCCTTTCCCCAAAACCCCTTCGATTCCCCTCCTAGCTCTCTCAGCCTTAAATATAAGACCATAAGCAACAGAAATAGGGTTGGTTAGCTCAGGAGGCTGGACAGCTCATTTGCAATGCCAACAGTGTGGGTTCACTTCACACACCAGCTGGGGTTACCATGAAGGACTCTTCTTCTCACATGCTTCCCCCTCACCTGAGGCATGGTGACCCTCAGATTAAACCCCCATCAGTCATCTCTCTGTAATGTGAGGGCAGCTCTAAGGTCTGTTAAGATAAGAGCAACTTTATCAATTTTTGGATTCCTCGTTAACTAATTTGCTAAAATCTGACTGACCATCGAACAGCCTTCTCCTACATTTCTACAATTACAAGGAAAGTGATCGATAATTTTATTTTGAGGAGTTTTAATTCCTGAGCATTTCCGAGTGATCGACCACAGAATATTGCATGTGTACTGAAGTTTAACCTTTTCCTGGAGGAGATGGACAGAGAAGAAAGACAAGGGGCTGAATATGAGAAGCAGATAAAGACCAACATAAAAACCAAAAGAACTGCGGATGCTGTAAATCAGGAACAAAAACAAAGTTGCTGGAAAAGCTCAGCAGGTCTGGCAGCATCTGTGGAGGAGAAAACAGAGTTAATGTTTCGGGTCCAGTGACC